AGCTTTGACTGGAAAGAAGCTTCAGCCCCTGGGTGCTGCTTTTCCAGCAGCTGTGACCTTCCTGCTTGGTGGAGATCACTGGGGTTTGTGGGGCTGTCACATTCATATTTTCTAGAAAAATCCCTTTGCCCAGGATTCTGCTCCTGGGAAGCTGAGAAGCCTCAGAGAAAAAGGAAAACAATAATTATCTGATTTGCTTCTCCTGTGTTTTGCTGCTTTGGAATGTGGCTGGACATTGTTTACCCACAGGTGATTGTTTCATTGGTTTCATGTGAATTGTTTTGATTTGTTGGCCAATTGTTTTGATTTATTGGGCAGGAGAAGGGCCCTGCTCCCCACAGGGACAATTTCACTGTGCCAGGTGCTCCCAGCCATGCCCAGCCTGGCCTTGGGCACTGCCAGGGATCCAGGGGCAGCCACAGCTGTGCCAGGGCCTCCCTACCCTCACAGGAAGGAATTAATTTCTTCCCAATATCTCATCTTATCTTACTCCTCCAGGGCTCCAAGACCTTCCCACAAGCCAGGGAAGGAGCACGGTTTTGGCTTCCCACCCAGCACCACAACCTCTCCTCCTGACACGCTGCAGATGTTGCTCCAAACCCTTCCAGCTGCATCTGCTGAAGAACTTCAACTGCTCCAAAGCTTTGAGAGCTCCGTGCCCACCCCAGCAGCATCCCCTGAATGCCAATGGGGATGGAAAGGCTGGCAACATCTGCATCCCAGGGAGAGGAAGGCAAGGATCCAAGTGCTTTATTTACAGAGGGAATAAATAAGCCACGTTCTTATGGCGGCAGTGTGTCCCTGCAGCAGCACAGCCCCCTCTGCTCCACAGGGATGAATTTAGAGGAGAAAGAGGCTTAAATTGAGCATGTGCAACTCCAGCACAAAGTGAGGCTTGGCAGCAGCAGCACTGGGGTCTTCCATGAAGCATCAGCCCAGAAGTTTCCCAGTGGAACCAGGGTAAAACCTCTGGATTCTCCAAGAATCCCTCATTTATTCCCTGTAGACATCAGCTCCATCAAAAATACAACAAAGCCAAATAAACCAAATGTCTCTGACCCCTTTGTTCAGCAGCACCTCCATGCAATGGTTCCTGCACATCACCCCCCCAGACCCAGGGATCAGAGTCCTGGTGCTCCTGGGACATCAGCTCCATCAGAAATACAACAAAGCCAAATAAACCCAAGAATTTTGACCCCTCTGTTCAGCAGCAGCTCCATGCAATGGTTCCCTGCACATCAGCCCCCCCAGACCCACAGAGCAGACCCTGGTGCTCCTTTGCAGAGGATTTTGGCACCTTCAGCAGAGTCTGGATGTCACCCTGGGAGGGACCCAAATGTAAAACACTCCTAAATACTGAACTGGATCAAAGCCCAAATTATGAATGCCTGGAATTACCTGGTAACAGTCTTTAAATAGATGAGATTAAAATAGTTATTTCTCTGATGCTTCCACTTTGCTTAATTTTGGTAATATGATTTAATGACTTCCAATTATGCCAGCTATTTAATTTTTTAATGTGTTTTCAGGCCTCTTCCCCTCCTGCCAGTGTAATCAGGCATCCTATTAGTCTCCTACTGGAATATTGACATTATTTTCCCTCCATCCTCCTCCTTCCCAGCAGCAAAGCCTGCCTGACCAACAGAAACCCTCCAGGAGCTGGAGCTGCCTGCTCAGATCACGCAAAGCTGGCAACGATTTTTGCCTGATTATCCATAATGAATGATGGAGCTTTACTGCAGCCATTTACCCTCATTAACCCCCAAATCAGCCCCCACAGCCCAGGGACCCCTGAGCATCCCTGCAATCCCCAGGCAGGCCTTTGGGATGGGCTGATGGATTTCTGCCTGCTGCTGCTGCTGGGATTGCAGAGACATTTTGTCTCCTTGGCCCAGGATGGCTCTGCCTCCCCAGGGTGACAGCTGGCAGGGTGATGGATGGCCACCAAGCACAGGATCCCTGTTTGTTATTGGGGCCATCAATAACCCTGAATGGGCTGATGGCCCTGAGGATGAAATGAGAATTTCTCATTTTTCCAAGAGCCCAGCGTTGCTGGGGGAAGCCCAGTGACATCCAAAGGAGGTGGAACCACACACAAATTTAACTTCAGACACCTGGAGAACCCACTCTGAGCCCTTTTGGAATGCATTATTTAGGAAGAATCAATTCCATCCCACCTCAGATCCCTCCTGATCATTTTATTCTGATGGATGAAAACCAAACCCCACACACCAAACAGAAACCCTACATTTGCTTTTGGAAAAGTGCAAATTTCCATCTCCCTTTCTGCACGAGTGCATCAGGGTCTTCCACAGGGAGGGGCATAAACAGGGGGTTGGAATGAGGGAGAGGTCACAGAACCACGGAACACCTTCATCAAGAGATGAAGAAGGAGGAGGAGGAGAAGCTGGAAAAGCCCTTTGAGTGAATCCCACCACAGCCACCAAGCCAGGTCACAAAGAGCCACACCTACATGTTTTGAACCCTTGAGGCTTGGTGACTCCAGCTGATCACAAAGAGCCACATCCACTCGTGTTCTGAACCCATGGAGGCACGGTCACTCCAGCCAGGTCACAAAGAGCCACATCCACTCGTGTTCTGAGTTCTTGGTGGCTCCACCACGTCCCTGCAGAGCTGCTCCAAATATTTCCCAAAGCACACAGAGCCTGCAAAGGCTCCATCCCAGCCACCTCCACTCCAAGCTGGCCTCCTGAAGCTTCTCCCCTCCCATCCTCCCTGATCATTTTATTCTGAGCAGCAGCTGGCCAGCAAAGGATGGATGAACACCAAACCCTATACACCAAAACAGAAACCTATATTTGCCTTTGGAAAAGTGCAAATTTCAATCTCCATTTCTGCACGAGCACATCAGGGTCTTCCACGAAAAGGGGCATAAACAGGGGGTTGGAATGAGGGACAGAACACAGAAGCACAAAACACCTTCATCAAGAGATGAAGAAGGAGGAGGAGGAGGAGAAGCTGGAAAAGCCCTTTGAGTGAATCCCACCACAGCCACCAAGCCAGGTCACAAAGAGCCACACCTACATGTTTTGAACCCTTGAGGCTTGGTGACTCCAGCTAGGTCACAAAGAGCCACATCCACTCGTGTTCTGAACCCATGGAGGCACGGTCACTCCAGCCAGGTCACAAAGAGCCACATCCACTCGTGTTCTGAACCCTCGGTGGCTCCACCACGTCCCTGCAGAGCTGCTCCAAACACTTCCCAAAGGCACACAGAGCCTGCAAAGGCTCCATCCCAGCCACCTCCATTCATGTTCTGAACCCTTGCAGGCATGGTGACTCCAGCCAGGTCACAAAGAGCCACATCCACATGCACTCATGTTCTGAACCCTCGGTGGCTCCACCACGTCCCTGCAGAGCTGCTCCAAACGTTTCCCAAAGCACACAGAGCCTGAAAAGGCTCCATCCCAGTATTGATCCACTCCAGGCTGGTCTCCTGAACTTCTCCCATCCCATCCTCCTGGTGAGAGCCTCCCTGGCCCTGCAGCCCGTGCCACCCACGCAGCCACCCCAGACAGTGCAGGATTAAAGCCAAGCTGAGCCTTCCGGAGTTAAGCCTGGGATTAGCGCACGTCCTAACAGGGATTGAAGAGTCTCCATCCCCCAGGATGACTGAAACTCTCAAAACAGGGCTGGCAGCCAGAACCCCTTGGAGATCCACGCTCCTGCCCTGGAAATGCAGCAGATAACCATTGTTTACATTTTGTTCCTGAGGCCTCTCAGCTTCTCAGGAGGAAAAAATCTTAAAGAAAAGATTTTTCATAAAAGATGTCTGTGACAATTCTTCTCCTGGGAAGCTGAGAAGCCTCAGAGAAAAAGGAAACCAATAATTATCTGATTTGCTTCTCCTGTGTTTTGCTCCTTTGGAATGTGTTTGGAGATTGTTTACCCACAGGTGATTGTTTCATTGGATTCATGTGAATTGTTTTGATTTATTGGCCAATTAGGGTCAAGCTGTGTTGAGGCTGGAAAGAGTCACAAGTTTTCATTATTATCTTTTTAGCCTTCTGCAAATATCCTTTCTGTATTCTTTAGTATAGTTTAGTTTAATATAATTTAGTTTAGTATTCTTTAATATAATATAGTATCATAATTATAATCAATATAGTTATGATTCTATATTACCATAAAATAATATGATATTCCTTTATGATAATATAGTGTCATAAAATAATAAATTAGCCTTCTAAGAACTAACTACAGAGAGTAGTGTAGGTGTATCACTTGGTGAGAAATTTAGGTTTTGGGGTTTTTAGTATGTTGTGGATGGAAGCAAGATGGAAGGCACAGGGTGCTGTCCTGGGTTTCTTCTTCTTCCTTCTTCTTCATGGGTTTGGGTGGCATTTTGTAATTGGGTGGAAAAATCCACATTGTGGGCTCTTTGGGATCAGTTATTGGGTTAAAAGGAAAAATAATCCAGGTGTCAGTTCTTAATTGGATGGTTTAGTTTTAAAGACCTTGTACCAAGAGACTGTTGGCCATTTTTGTGGTGCTTTTCCAGCGTGCTGAGCCTGGTGGGGACAGCGTGCAAAACTTTAGATAAGATAATAATAATAAACAAAAACCTCAAGACCAAAAAAATCCAGTGGGTCTCTGTTTCCTGACACAAAACTGCTCCAGGAGGGTCTCCCAGTCCGAGTCCCAGAATTCGGGGAATTGGCAACAGGTACCAGGTGGCACCTCAGTGACACTGCTGGGCAGCAGGTGACACCTCAGTGACACTCATAGGCTACATGTGACACCTCAGTGATGCTCATGGGCAGCAGGTGACACCTCAGTGACACTCATGGGCAGCAGGTGACACCTCAGTGACGCTCATGGGCACCTCAGTGACACTCCCAGGCTGCAGGTGACACCTCAGTGACACTGCTGGGCAGCAGGTGACACCTCAGTGACACTTCTGGGCTCTGAGGAGCAGGAAACCAGCTCAGTGCAGGTCACCCCCGGGCTGTGCCCCCCTGAGACCCCTCCTCACGTACCTGGCTGCAGGGTGGCACCCTGAGGGTGCTCTCTGGGGACAGCTGGCTCTGGCACTGGCCCGGCCGGCGGCAATCCAGCTGGATGAGGCTGCGGCACTCCTGGTGACACGTGTACCTGCAGTCTGCAGGGACAGAGGGACAGCGTCAGGCACCCGGGCTGCCCTGGGGCTGGGGACAGCGGGGACAGCGGGGAGGGAATGGGGGGCAGCAGAGGGATTGCAGCACGGGCAGAGATGGAGCAGGCACTGGTCAGGCACAGGTCCCCTTTAACACACATGTCCCTTCTAATACACCTGTCCCTGTTCAGCCACATGTCCCTGTTCAGGCACACATGTCCCTTTTAACACATATTCTTTTTAACACATGTCCCTTCTAACACACGTCCCATTTAACACACATGTCCCTGTTCATGCACATGTCCCTTTTCAGGCATGTGTCCTTTTAACACACATGTCCCCTTTAACACACATTTCCCTGTTCAGACACACATGTCCCTTTTAACACATATGGTCCTTTTAACACATGTGTTCTCTTTAACACACGCGTTCCCTCTAACACACATCCCTGTTCAGGCACACATGTCCCATTTAACACATATGTCCTTTTTTAACACATGTCCCTTTTAACACACATGTCCCCTTTTAACACACCTGTCCCCGTTCAGCCACATGTCCTTTCTAACATATATGTCCCTTTTAACACAGGTCCCTCCCTGTTCAGGCACATGTCCCTTTTAACACATATCCCTGTTCTGGTACATGTTCCTTCTAATACACATGTCCTTTCTAACACACATGTTCAGGCACATGTTCACCAATCACCCCTGGAGGGGGCAGGGACACGGTGCCACCAGAGCCCCAGCGAGGGCAGGGACATGGTGCCACCAGAGAGGGCAGGGACACGGTGCCACCATGGCCTCAAATCCAGCTCTGCACAGGGCAGGGACACAGTGCCACCAGAGCCCCAGAGAGAGCAGGGACACAGTGCCACCATGGCCTCAAATCCAGCTCTGCACAGGGCAGGGACACAGTGCCACCAGAGCCCCAGAGAGAGCAGGGACACAGTGCCACCATGGCCCCAAATCACTCCTGGACAGGGCAGGGACATGCTGCCACCATGGCCCCAAACCCAGACTTGCAGAGGGCCGGGACACGGTGCCACCATGGCCCCAGACAGGGCAGGGACACGGTGCCACCATGGCCCCAAATGCAGAGGGCAGGGACATGGTGTCACCATGGCCCCAAACCCAGCCCTGGACAGGGCAGGGACACGGTGCCACCATGGCCCCAAATCACCCCAGGGAGGGCAGGGCCAGGTGCCAGGAGTGGCTGAGCTCCTGCCCCAGGTGCAGCAGGGCATTCCTGTGCCTGTTTTCTTTGGATGCTGCCCCAATGGCACACATTAACCCATTCACACCCGGGTGACCTGCACAGAGCAGTTTTAACCCCTTCAGGCACAGGGCCCTGCTCACCCCCAGCTGCAGAGGGGCACGTTTGGCACAGGCAGCTCCAGTTGTCCCAAATTTGTGCCCATCACTCCTGCAAGCCCCAGCTCCTCCAAACCCTCCTGACTCCAGTGCCCAACCTGCTGCCACTTTAATGGCCCACCTGAGCCTTTTAATTTTTAACTGCCAGGCAAACAGCCTCACATTTACTTTCTACACTGCCCAAAATTCCACAGCGGTCACCAACCTGGAAAAAAATAATTATATTCTAAAAACAAGGCAAAATATTTGTTTCCATAGGGGGATTTGAGTGCCTGTCCCTACAAAGACCTTGCAAAGAGCCACTGAACTTTTATTTTAAATACACATCTTCCTTCTTTTTCCTTTTTCTTGCTTTTTTGTTTTTAATTTAATTTTTTTCCCTTTAGCATTTGGGTCATTGCTTTTGAATGTCTGGGGGTTATAGGAAAGCAAAGGAATATCCCGTGTTTATATCCCATGTTTGCTCTGGAAACTGATTTCTGCTCAACTTTTATTTTAAATATGTATCTTCTTTCTTTTCCCTTTTTCTTCCTTTTCAAAAATTTTTTAAAACTATTTTTTTCCCTTTAGCATTTGGTCATTGGTTTTGCATGTCTGAGACTTGCAGGAAAGCAAAGGAATATCCCATGTTTGCTCTGGAAACTGATTTCTGCTCAACTTTTATTCTTTTATTTTAAATATATATCTTCTTTATTTTCCTTTTTCTTCCTTTTTTTTTCTTTCCCTTTAGCATTTGGGTCATTGGTTTTGCATGTCTGAGACTTGCAGGAAAGCAAAGGAATATCCCATGTTTATATCCCATGTTTGCTCTGGAAACTGACTTCTGCTCAACTTTTATTTTAAATATATATATTCTATATTTTTCTATCTTTTTTTTTTCCTTTTTTTTTTTTTTTTCCCCTTTAGCATTTGGGTCATTGGTTTCGCATGTCTGGGGCTTGCAGGAAAGCAAAGGAATATCCCATGTTTATATCCCATGTTTGCTCTGGAGACTGATTTCTGCTCAGCTCTGGTGAATTCTGCAGTGCCTGAGGATGAGAATGAATGAGAGGAGCTGGGAGCTGCTGCCTGAGGGGGGAAACATCAATCTCCAGGGAAAACAGGGAAATCATTTATCATTTATCATTTAACATTCATCCTGCATGAGCTGTCTGTCATTCTCCCATTCCAAGCCAGTTGTCTCAAGTATGCCTGGGGGAAAAGCAGGGAGATTTGGCTTTTATTTTATTATTTTTTTTAATTAGAGATAAGCTGCAGTTCCACAGTAATTTAATGCATGACCTTTCCAGCAACTGGAGCAGCTTTGCAATGGGGGACATTGGCCAAGTCTTTGCTGGAGCTGCCAGCTGGAGAATGCTCCAGCTGTGGCTTCACCTGAGCATCTGCCACCACCACCACGTCCCCTGTGCCCATTTGGGACCAGATTTTCACATTTTGGCAGCTCCAGCACGAGGAGCAAAGGTGTCACACAGGAAATCTGCACCACAGAAATGCCAATTGCCAGGCATTTCTGGATCGGCCCCATTGTGGCATTTCTCTGTGGGATTAAAGGGTGACGCCTCCTTAGTCACCATCCCCTATTAACAGACCCTAATCACCGTGGGGAACACTAATTTTAGAATCCCTGCTCAGCTTTAGGAAGCAGCCACGTGAGCAGTTTGCCAGGAGGAGCAGGATGCCTCCACTTAGGCATGGAGATAATTTCCATTCCAGTCAAACAATGGAACACTTGGAAATGCAGTTAAAAAAAAAAAAAAAAAGAGAGAGATAGAGAGAAAGATCATGATACTGTAAAAAGCTTTGCTGGCTGAAGAGAATTTCCCTTTTTTCACAGGTAAAGTCACTCCTGGGGGTAAAATGTGCAATATAAATGCCCATTAAATGCCCACCTCAGTGCCCAGACATAGTCACAGAATGGTCTGGGTGGGGAGGGACCCTAAAGCTCCTCTGCCAAGGGTATCCTTCACCCACCCCAGTAGAAAGCTTTGGGTGGGGGATCTTTCAAAAATTGGGAGCAGCATTTAGCAAAGGCCACCTGGTTAGTTAACACCTGAGGTTCCACCAACCAAGCAGGTGCTGCCCAGGGATGGGGCAGCCACAGCTGCTCTGTCCCACCCTCCCAGGGAGGAGTTTCTCCATTTTTCCCACCCCAATCCCCCCATTCCCACCCCCAGACCCCACAGGGCACCTTCCAGCTCCACCTGACCCAGGTGGGAATGGGGACAGAAGGAGAAGGAGCCTCCACAGGTGCTCCACAGGTGTCTGAGAGCTGGCACAACGTGGCAGGAGGGAGATTTCCCCCAGCCAAGCTTCGGAATCCTGCAGGGGCTCACCCAGCTCCACGTGCAGGTGGGTTTTGGGTTTTGCAAGCCTGAGCTGCTCCTCTGTGCCTGATGTCACTGTGGGGTGACCTCAGGGGTGGCAGCAGGATGTGGCACCAGGGCAGGGGCAGGCTCTGAAGGGATGGGGCAGGATGTGTGGCACCCACAGAGCAAACCCGGGGAAGGCTTCAATCCTCCTGAAACACTGGCCCAGCCCCAGCCCTGCAGTCCCATCACTGCAGGCTCACCTGGGCACTTTTAGGTCTGAACCAGATGGTTTGGACTCAAAAAGAAACTTTCATCATCGTGTTGTTTATTCCTTTCGTAGCTTTAACACGCATGTCCCCTTTAACACAGGTCCCTTTTAACACACATGTCCCTTTTAACACAGGTCCCTGTTCAGGCACATATGTCCCATTTAACACACATGTCCCTTTTAATACACATGCCACCATTCAGCCACATGTCCCTTTTAATGTGTCCCTGTTCAGGCACGCGTCCCTTTTAACACACACGTCCCTGTTCAGGCTCACATGTCCCTTTTAACACATCCCCTTTAACACATGTGCTTTTTAACACGTGTCCCTTTTGACACATCCCCTTTAACACATGTCCCTTTTAAGACACATATCCCTGTTCAGGTACATGTCCCTTTTAACACACATGTCCCTGTTCAGGCACGTATATCCCTTTTAACACATGTCCTTTTTAACACATGTCCCCTTTAACACGTCCCTGTTCAGGTACATGTCCCTTTTAACACACATGTCCGTTTAACACATGTCCCTGCTCAGGTACATAGGCCAAGAAATGCTAACAGTGCTCTGTAATCAGGAAATAGCTGGCTTCTGGCTGTGCTGGTGTGAATTATAACAACTGTGTTGTCTCACCCTTCAAACGAAAAATGGAATAAAAGTTTTTAACACACCTCTCAGTTGTCCCATCTCTGGCTCAGCAAAGGGCACAGTCATATTTCTGCTTGTTACTTAATTAAAGCATTTTTTTCTTGCACTAAGCATTGCTGTATCACAACACAGCAATTTAATGCTCTGAAAGTCCAGTTAGTTCAAAGGGCATAAATTATGTTTGATAACAGTTACAAGTTATTGTTTGAAAAAGTCTTGTTGATTCTAAGGTCTTAATTGAAAACTTTTTTCTGTCTCTATACTTTCATCTATTATCTCTGTGAGATGTCGAGAACTCTCTGTGAATTTGTTTTTTACCTCTCTCTCTTGTGTGATAAAAACTTCCTTGATAGTTTTGTCCACCATTTGTTGCACACACTGAAGTATGCAGGGTATTACTACTAATATAA